ACAAAGCATGTCACTGGGACAGGGGCTGCAGGTGTCAGATTTCCCTTTCGACATGGCACACTGAGAAGGAAAAGCAGCATTTGTGAAGAGCAGTTTTTCTGCCTCTTCCATAAAGACAATGAATAGATAATTGGATGCAATACAAGCCAAGCTTTATCGTCAGCCTCAGGCCAAAATCGTCCAACTCGGGTGCCTAAAGTTAGTCGCCTGCGTCCGCACTCACCCTGACTAAAAATGGCCTGATTTCAAGAGGAGCTGGGCACCTGTGGAAACTGGAGTCACTCAGCAGCTCTGAAATGATCCTGGACATGTCTAATTGTGAGACAGGCTTTTGGAAAAAGTGAAGTGGATTGTAAGCGAATTTAAACTGGCTCCATGCAAACTAGGAGAAGGGTGAATTGGGGGTGGAGAGTGGGTTACAGCAGATCAAAATAGGAAGGGGAGCTCTTCAGTTCTCGTGGCTGTCATCACAGGTCTCGATGCCATTTGATGATGTGGCATTACATCATCTTGTGGATACAGCAAGGGGACAAAGGAAGGGATGTACCCCAAAGGCATCCATGTTCCAAAGCAGGCCAATAGCCAGCTAAACACGGGGAGGGTTGTGGGGGGCACATCCCTGGGGCTTCCCTCCCGCTTGCTATGCATCACTTAGGTTTGACCAGGATGGAGAATCTCTACTGATGTAAAAAGGGTCACAAACTTGGGGGGCATTCCGCTGTAGGACACCGAAATGCTGGACTTCATGCATTTCAGAAGATTCCCGGCAGGAATCTTGTGATCTCTCTCTGCCTTCCACCTAGAAGGGAGAGAGCTCTGGGAATGTTGCCTCCCTTTTCTGCTCCCCTGGAGGGGATAGGAAGCTGGTAGGGTGCAAACTGAGAGCTCTCCATTTGGACATCTTCTCAACTCCCATCTGGTGCTGCCGCCGCTCGTCTGATTGGCTGGGAGCCCCAGAAACCTCAGCCGGGCACCCACCCCTGCTGCTGCTCCCACTGCAGATTCTGCTGTCCGCTGAGCTATCAGTTCCTCAGCCAAGGCGGAGGCGCTCTCACTTTGCTTGTTAGCGGGCGGGAGGGGAGGCTGGGCTTCCCCAGGCTCCTCTCTCTAATCGAAGGGGCTGATGTGAGATCACCAGATCGATAGAAACAAGATTTCCAGTAGAAGCTGGGAGACTTAAAACTGCCCTCGGGCTCATGACTCCAACTCTAAGTCAGTGTCGTGGGATACTTACACCACAGAGCATCTCAGAGCCAGATTCTCAGCCCCAGCATCGCTCCACTGCAGCTAGACATGTAGTAGGACTTTGAAGCCAATGGCGCCCTGCTGATTTACTACAGCTGAGCATCTGGCCTGACAGGTACATCTCAGGATAAAGCCTGCTCCAACACAAGGTCCAGATAGGAAGCTGCTCCAGATTGTTACATACACTGTCTCCTGACGCAAATGCCTCCCATGCATTCGGTGTACGAAATAAATGGTTTAGCGGATATTTGACTGCAGTGACTTGATCTCGCACTTTGTTCTGGGGTTTCATGGTGAAGCAGAGCAGATATCGAACTTCACTAGGCAGAATAACAAGGGCTTCAATTAGCTGCTAGAAAATACACACATCTCTACAGCAGAGTCTAGTTATCTGAGCCCTTTCCCAAGTAACTCTCCTTTGTTAAGGGTACTTCATTTCTGCCGTCAAAGGGTTTCATTAGCACATTTATCTTCGTTCCAACGGAAATCACGACCCATCAATAGTAGACATTTATATTTACGTAAACACCCACCCCCGTGCCTTTCCCCTCTCCCACTCCAAGTACCCAATGTCCTTTCTGTAGAGAAAGGTATATCTTTTAGTGATGGCTGGAATTTTTCAAGTTTTTGAATTTTTTAAATTTTGTGCCCTCCCCCCGCAAAAGGAAAATATTTTGATGAAATTGTCGCCATATCCCTCTCACTTTTTCAAGCAGCTCTGATTCTACCTTTCACTTATGAATATTGTTGTATGCAAGAACTTGTAATTACGTTGAAAACAGAGCAGACTCCTTAACATAAGCAATAGGGACATAGCTAGAATGAGTTGGACCTGTTAGACTTTTCCCTGTGAGTCCGGGGATGGTGGTGCTCCTGAATGGTCATTTATTTTTTACATTTCAGGTATTTGTTTCAAATCGTGGTTTGCTCACAAGTAAAACCGTTTGCAGGTCTCATTGTAATCTTCAGCAGAGGTTTTACTAACTGGGTGGAAGCAACAATTTGCCTCAAGTGACCGTCTGCTAAAATAAAGGCTCAGAAGTCAGTCGTGAGGAAATGTGAAATATGCTGACTCCTCTGAAATCAATCCACCTTCCCATGTAATATGTATCATTCTTACAGATTCACACCACTCTCCACCCCCTGGCCGTAGGGAGAGCGAACGGATGCACATGAGTTGCTTGGTGTTGAGAGCTGGCCCTTTCCCAGAAAAGCTAGCTGGGTGTTTACAGACATTAAAGCTCAGTTTATTTTTGAGTGGCAGTAGTTCCTTTGCTAAACCAAAAGCCCCCATACCTGTGAGGGACTGGGACACATGCCGTTTTGCAGTATCTCTGTTTCACCTTTGGATTGCTCAGCCCTTCAGAAGAGACCATCAGCCACCATGTTAGAAACATGGCAGGTGGCACTAACCACACTGCCTAGCCGGAAGGTCATTTCTGATTGGTGGGCTGATTTAAAGCCTAACCGTGCAGAGGGCCTCCAAAACCCTACATTTGTTTGCATGGAATAATTTATTATCGTAACTGTGATAATACACTGGTCTTAAGAATTCTTGCATTTTCGGCACCAATAGAGGCATCAAAACAAATGTCAAACCATAGGAAATCTTTTTGTTTCAGATAAAATCCTTATTAGTCTGCTGTTTATTTCCTGGGGATGTTCCAAGACCTACCAAGCATAGCTAGATCACAGACAGCTGTGTGTTTCCAGGGTCTACAAAACACTTACAAATTACAGTATTCAGACTTTGAACTTGTGTGGGAGGTCAGGAAGACAGACACAGCAACAAGAGCAGAACATTTTGATCTGTGATAACAATTTGCTGCCTGAACTGATTAATTAAGATGCATGATGAGAGAGCTGTTCCTTTAAAAGTGCAGGAGCAGTGACTCTGAGTTCCCACGTACCCCACTTGTGCGTGCTAGGCTAGCAGAGTGGATAACGTGGCCAGCACTGCTCCATGGTCCCAAGGAGAGATGCTCGGACATCACCAGTACAGGGTGTGATATGTACTTAATACTGATACAGAGCAGCAGTAAGGATGCCCCACTTGAGGATTTGCCCTCTGAATATCAGGGCCTTTAAGCTCAACATCAAGAACTGAGGCACCCAGAATCTCTCAGCTCTTTTGAAGACATAGGCCTCAGACACTCGCCCAAGGTGACACCTGATGTCTATGGAAGAGCCAGGAATCAAACCCAGAACTCCAGTGCACCCACTCTGAGTTCACAAGACCATCCACTCTGAATTCTTACCAGGGGCATCTTCAAGGTCTTTAATTTTGACTGCTAAATTTCTGAAGTTAACCAGGGAACTACATTCATGTAGCTCTGTGATACCTAGAAGTCCTGCTTTGTCTATTTCAACTTGTGAAAAAGGTTAACTTGGGGACTTGAACTGTGAAATGCAGAGTTTCAGCCTTACTCTTGTATGGGAAGTTTAGAATGAACGCTAAAATAAATAAAAATGTTGCTGAGAGTCTTGTATTTCTATCTCGTGCCTTAGCATAGCAGGGAGCTCGATAAACTGAGACCATTAGGGGTGTCAGAGCTCTGAGCATAAGAAAGAAAGAAAGAGACAGACAGGCCCTAATCAGCATGTACTTAACTTCTAAGTACATCGGGGTCGGCAACCTTTCAGCAGTGGTGTGCCGAGTCTTCATTTATTCACTCTAATTTACGGTTTCGCGTGCCGGTAATACATTTTAACGTTTTTAGAAGCTCTCTTTCTATAAGTCTATAATATATAACTAAACTATTGTATGTAAAGTAAATAAGGATTTTAAAATGTTTAAGAAGCTTCATTTAAAATTAAATTAAAATGCAGAGCCCCCCGGACCGGTGGCCAGGACCCGGGCAGTGTGAGTGCCACTGAAAATCAGCTCACGTGCCGCCTTCGGCACGCGTGCCATAGGTTGCCTACCCCTGAAGTACGTCCTTAAATCGCAAGGCCTAGAGTAAAAGAAATGGTTTGCTGAGGTCCAAATAAGTTTGATTTACAAAGCCATGACTTGAATTCTGTGACATGTATGTACATGGTTTTTGCACTGTAATTGTACTAAGAGTAACACCCAGTTTTGAGATCTGCTGATGAGAAAGAAGCATTCAGCATCATTATCCCTGATTTACAGATAGGGAAATTGAGGCACAGAGCAGTCACATGACCTGCCTGCAGTCACATGACCTGCCCATAGTCACATGTCCAAGCCAAGAATAGAAGCCAGCCCTTCGGTGTCCTAGTCTAGTGTGCAAGCCACTGAACTACACTGGCTCTCCATGAGTGGGGCTACACCAAAATATTCCCCATAATGAATTTGCAAGACCTCTGAAGACTATCCTTATGTCGGTAGAAGGGCTTATTCCTAGAATGTTTGCTAGGCAAATGCCATTCAAATTGCTGTCACTTCCCACTTTGTGACTGACCAGTTTCTAATGCTATACGTTTATTTTGACAAATCTGAGCTTCAGAGAAACTCGGGAATAAGGAAGGACCAGCAAAGTTCAAGCTGGTTTGCCTGCCTCAGCGCCGAGCCGTGTGTGCCTTCTCTCTGTGTCGCTCACTTTATCAGAGCTTTATGGCAGCTTATAAAGAAATTGTCTCTTCTCTCCCTGCCAAGTTAAAAATCCCACTTTGGTATTCACAGTACAGTTATGACAAATGCCTGGCCTGTGTTCTGGGTGTTCAGGGAAATGTAAAAACATGTCTAGTTGTTGTGAATGCTCACATGGTGATTTGTTGGTTTGATTCTTCAGGTCGTGAATTGGCAAGCACAACCCTCCCAGGATACCCTCCTCACGTCCCCCCTGCTGGACAGGGCAGCTACTCTGCTCCAACACTGACAGGAATGGTGCCTGGTGAGTTTAACAACCCCCCCTCCTCCCCTCCCTGCAGCATTACAGAAGCAAAGCCAAATGCTTTCTGGTTGTTCTGCACTGATGCCAGCAGAAGACAGAATTACAGTGATGAAAAGAGAAGAGCAGATGCAAAGCGAGTCTAAATAAATAAACCAGCCCCTCTCTGGCACAAGGGAGAGCCTAACTTCTCCGCTGCCAAAGCAAATTCTTCCATCCTGTAGGCAGGGAGAAGCCTTTACCCCACTGCATGGCCGTTTGATATGTGTTGATCGGATCACGTAGGGACAGCCTCAAACTTCCCCCCCCATTCGTCATGAGGATGATTTTAATCAACACTTTAATGTTAAGCACGTCACATGTATTGGTGCCAGTGGGCTAGAAAAGCTGCGCTGTGGCAAGTGTTTGTTGGACTGGAAGGGTTCAGATGGTTACTTTACTAAGCCCAAAATCTTAACAACTCACACATCACTGAGTTTACCGCAGGCTTTTTCCTTTTTTTTGTAACCCCTTTTTGCATGTTTTTGAGATAACCCCAGCCTTGTGATGGGAGCAGCTGATCATCTGCTGGAAGGCACTCCAGCACAGATCTTCAGAGGTACCTATGTTCCTAGCTCCCACTGAAATCAGTGAGAGTTAGGCGCCTAACTGGACCAGAGTACCCTCAATCCCTTTGGAAGTCAGCGGGAGCTGAGTATGCCCAGATCTCATAAGAGGCACCTTGTAGGATGAGGTCCCTATGAATACAGTTGGGTTATCCATTATTAGCAACTTCTGATCCACAATTATTCATCTATGATCCTAGACACTGTTGGTGGTTTAGACATACAGATAGTGATAAGGCTAGAGACAGATGAGTGTTATGTTGTATATACTCCTGGGTTTGACATTTAAGTATGATGAAAATCATTGACTTCAAAAGAGCTATGTAGATTTACAGCAGCTGAGGATCTGGCCCTCGCAACCTTTGATCTCAATGTTAAGGCCACCACTGCTTACTCGGGAAAGTGTTATACAGTATTACGAACCCCAAGCATTCAAAAGTTACGAGTAAAGGATTTTTAAAAATCATGGGACTTTTAAAAAAAAGTTGGGTGTTTTTTTACTTGCTTTCTAGTTTCTGGGCCTTTAGGGTGCACTTGGACCATATTTCCAGGCTTTCTTCACTCTGTTTTAAAAAAAATGAAAGCTGAGATTATTACATAATCACATGACTCCAGCAGCTGGGGATTAAGAACAAAATATCATAAAACTTGTGATAAACAGCATAAGAGTTGGTAACACTGGCTTTATGTCTAGAGTGTGTGGGAGTTTGCATATATGATCAATCTTGATTGTACTTGTCTCTTGATAATATCTTTAAGAAATTAAGAAAAACGCATTCACTCTTCATATGAATTAGTTTTAAGAATTAGAAGTAGGAATCAGGTCATTGTAATAACAGTCATTTTTGCCCATAAAAAGTGTTGTAATGGTATTGAAAGTAGTGTATGGGGGGCCGGGGATTTTATAAAGATTGACATAGATACAGAAACATTACTTTCCCCTCAAAAAGGAAATGTGATATAATAATGGCTTATTTTATACAGCTGTAAGGATTTACATCATACCAAAAAACTTGCCTAGAACTTCAGGCCAGATTCTCAACTGGTGTAAATTGATCTGCTGATTTCAATGGAGCTTCAGCAATTTGCACCAGCTGAGGATCTGGCCTGAAAATGCAACAACATTTTGCTGTGATTGCAAGTCACTTCCTACCATTTAAATATTAAGAACCTTAAAAAAAAAAGTCGCATCCGTGTTAAGGTGCTTTATTAACAAGATTTCCCTAAATGTGTTTTGCAGTTATACAAGCATCTCTGAATAGCAGCTAGGAACAAGGATGGGTGAACTAGTCAGGATAAAAAATCTGCCCCTGATTATGGGGGGAGGGATAGCTCAATGGTTTGAGCATTGGCCTGCTAAACCCAGGTTTGAGTTCAATCCTCAAGGGGGCCATTTAGGGATCTGGGGCAAAAATCTGTCTGGGGATTGGTCCTGCTTTGAGCAAGGGGTTGGACTAGATGACCTCCTAAGGTCCCTTCTAACCCTGGTATTCTATGATTCAATCAAAATCGGAACACAAAGCAATCCTTTATTTTGCAAGTTGGCCAAGTTTAGTTAACTTCATTTACTCTGACCTCCTAGTTCTTTCTAAGTCTGGAAGCTAGGGTGACCAGATGTCCTAATTTTATAGGGACAGTCCCGATTTTTGGATCTTTTTCTTATATAGGCTCCTATTACCCCGCACCCCCGTCCCGATTTTTCACATTTGCTGTCGGGTCACCCTACTGGAAGCAGAAGTAATGCAAGACTGTGACAGAGGTTGGTCTAGCACTATTCCCTCTGTGTTCAGAAGCATGGCGTCCTGGTATCTAGCGAAGGAAACTGATCTCGAGTTAGCAAGCGCTGCCTTTCACTTGAGCCAGCCCGAAAATGGGAAGGTTTGCATGAAGCTTCTTGATAGCAGCAAGTGTTAAATTATGCCCATAGCACTTCTGTGCTTTTAAGGCTAAGCCTGCTATTGTGCAGCTGTTATGAAACCCAAATACTCTGCACATTATCTAAGATGATGTCAGTTCCCTGAGGTGAAAGGAAAAGATCGTCCTACTTTGTATCCTGGAACAATTTGTGCCCTTCCAAATGTGGGGCCTACCCTTTCATGTGACTAGGGATTGTGGGTGACCCTCTGGAGATGCCTTGAAGAGACCTGATTTTCAGAAGGTGCTAAGCACCTGCTCTTTGAAAATCAGCCCCTTAAAGATGCCCCAACTTGAACAGTAGAAAATTGAGTCATTTTTGAAAGTGTAGGTGATGAGGTTTCAAGGTGGTTCTGTTACAGCCTCTGTTAAGATTTTATCTCACTAGTCCTTATTATTATTATTATTATTATTATTATTATTTGTATAAGCATAGTGCCCAGTCATAGTCCAGGACCCCATTGTGTAAGGTGCTGTACAAACGCAGAATAAAAAGTTGTGTTTTTCAAGTGTGCCTAAGCACGGTAGGTTCCTAACTCCCATCGACATGTGTCTGAAAATCCCTTTAGGTGTCTGCACCTTCAGGTGCCGAAATCCTTTGAAGACCTGGCTACGTTTACAATGTGCTTCAGTGTGGACTACCAGGGGAGGGTGAAGTGCAGAGCACAGCAAAGTGTTGCTCCGTAACTGCCCCCCGTAGGCAGTGCTGACTTAAACTACAAGGTACTTAGTTTGCATGAACATAGCCCTGTTTGAAAGAAGACTATGTTAACATGAACTAGGTACCTTTTCGCTTGTGCCAGGAGCGTCCCCACAGGGCAGTTAGAACGCAACACTTCGTGCTTGGCAATTTGCACCCCCCCCGCCCCGTAGTCCGCACTGCGGCACAGCGTAGACAAGCCCTTAGTTTGTGTCTCAGTTCCCCATCTGTAAAATGAGGTTAATAGCTCTTCCCTAGCTCGCAGGGGTGCAGGGAGCGTAAATACCTTACAGATTGTGGGGTGCTCAGATACTACTACTAAGTAATGGTACCCGAGATGGGCAGGTTTGGTAATACCTAAGACCAATCGCACATTATTTGGCAGAGTTTAGAAAGATGCAATGCAATGATCTCGACTCATCTGAGCTGATTTCTCTGTGTAATAGATTTATTTTTAACTACACCTAGGCTGGTGTGACCCATTAGATTGAGTAACTGCAATGTTCTTTTCACTGGGTCTTTTAATAACAACCTTCTGCTCCAGCTAGGTTGAAGGTCACTTGCAATTCTTCTAGGTTCTCGTTTTCATTTAAGTGTGGGTTTGCTAACTAGAATCCAAAATACCTTCTCTGTCCTCACTTGTCTCTTGTCATTTGAAGGGCCCGTTTCAGAGGCTTCTTCTGAATGCACACCGTCTTTTATGATTTGGTTCTGAAGGAGCTGACAGATCAGGTTTAATGCTGTATGCATATCAGTGATTGTGCTCTGATATGGCTGAATTATTCTGCCCTGAAATTTATACAAGGGGAATGTACGTTTCACCAATTCTCTGGGATTCCCTCCTAGACCTGCTGCTTCCCTAGAATAATTTTCAGAGCATAGGCTCAAAATGTGGTTCTTTGATAAGAGCTTTAATTGTGAGCCATGAACGATTGTTATAATTAACTGATTGTGTCTGTGAAGTGTTTAGAGACGTGGGAGAAATATAGACATGATAAGACATATATGATGTTTTGTTGCATGCTTGTTGCTGTTGACATCATTTATGTGACTGTGAATAACCTGGTCCCCAGCTACAGTGTCTGTGTTTGTACAGCATTTGCCAGGGATTCATAGAGCACGTGTCCAAGGGGCTGGGGAATGCGTGTTAACTCTTACAACTCAGGGATTAGAATACCTGTCCTGAGAAATCTTGACGGGGTAGATCGGACCTGAGTCTACCTAGCTCCTCTATCTCTGATCTCCTTCCCCCCACCCCACACCAGCTCCCACTCCCTCCCTGCTTTTTCCCCTCCCTCCCATATCTTGAACGAGAGCCCTTCGCTCCAAAGCTCATCTCAGCAGGCAATGGACCTCATGTTCCCCACCGGCCTGGCCTTTTCTGCCAGCCACCTCTTCAGCGCCATCCTCCCGGCCCCATGCCAGTTCCTGCCCTCCCCCTGCCATTGCTGTCACTCTGTCACGCACCCTCCCTTCTTCTCAAAGAGGCTGTGAATGTGCAGCCTCCTCCTGGGTGCCCTGCAAGTGGCCCCTCACCTCAGTTTCCCTCTGGATTCTTGAAATAAACTCAGGGCAGCCTTCGGAGTACATAAATAGCCCGTTTTGTGGGGTTAAGTTATTACCTGAATCCTCCCAGCACAGTACAACGCCAAATATGGCTCTAGCGTCTCTCACCAGGCTTCACCCCAGCTCCCAGGCACGGCTCTAGCGTCTCTCGTCAGGCCACATCCCATCCCCTCTAGCTGGGGTGTTTCCCTGCCCTGTTTCCTTCCCAGGTAGGGTTC